GACAAGACCAGGGGAAATTCCTATTGAGCTGCACAAATTCTTATCCCTCGTTGATGGTATGCTATAATCAGACCAGTCTAGCTGAAATGATGTTCTAGGATGTTGATCCGCAAACTCCGTTCCTTTGATGACCACGTTCCCTGAACCAATGAGCAAGGCATCCTTCGTCAAAACCTTCAAATCATCAGAAGAAAATATATTTCGGCATCCAGCATCTGCGTAGAAATCAGTCATTCCAGAGCTGGTCTTGGGAGTCTGGTGCATGGGCAAATTCAAGGACTGTTGACATTTGTCCTATGTTGTCAGGATATTGAGTTGTAATGCCCAGAAGTGAAACCCGACATACGGATCTGCATTGAAGGCCATCTATCCCAGTACCCTCATGCAGACACAAATTGAGGAACTATCCAGTGACCTCAGAGGCTCCATCTGGGAGTTTAGGGACAGGGACATTTGCTGAACCAACACCTTCGCCTATACTATGCCTACAAGTAAGCACAAATACTCCAGATGTTCCATTGGAACCAAGGATGACTTCGAAAGGTTCAGTACCCAAGCAAACCTTTCTAGGATCTGCACTTGTGGGACATTTGATGCCAAGCTCTGAGCTAGTTGCTCCCTGAGAAGCAGGTTGCCCAGTCACTCCACTTTGGGAATACCCTGGGGTCCTTAACCAAAAGGTGCTGGCTTGATTTTGTTTTTTTGGATTAACACTGGGAGCTTGGGAAAGACTAAATAGCAGTGCTGCAAACTGGTAGTGGCTGTCCTCTACAGTGAACCACAGAAACTGTTGGTGTTACGCTGGAAAATTGGGATTTGCAGGTAGGTATCTTTGATATCTACTAATGCTAGGAACTTCCTCTGATGAAGCAAAAAAGCAGCAGGTGGATAGATGCCTTTTTGTATTTCTGCAACTGCAGGAAGCCAATTCCCTTATGATCAACAATAGGCCAGACATCTGTTTGACTTGGGAACTGCAAACAAGTTGGAGTAGAAGCTAAGAGATCTCTCCTTCTGTGGCACAGATGTGATTGCCCCAGAAACTATATTCTTTACAGAAAAACACTCTCATGGCTCCAAAAAGACTCTTGAGCACATAAAGCATGGAGTAGGAACAGCAAAGCACTCTACCTGATAACATTTAGACACTATGCTGCAAACCTGTTTGTTTCCAACTTCTGGCTCCTAGCTTCCCCTCCTACACTGTGGGGGTCCAGTTCTTCTTGTAAAACTAGACCATTGGCTTCTGCTTGCAGGCAGAGGCCTGTTGCTTACAAAAGGAATGTGTATTGGCCTCTGAGGCTGCACCAGTTTCTGACCTATTGTTTTTGGCTTCTTTAGGGGGAAAGAGTGTGATTTTTACCCTTAGTCAAATTCTAAATGAAGGAATTCCAGGATAGTCCAGACACACACGCTCAAAGTTGCTTCTTGCAGAAAAATCAGCACTTGAACCACGGGCTCCTCCCTATATGGACAAACATTGTACCCAACCTCGAAATCTGTCGTATTGAGTCTTCCATGATATCCGCCGAAACTCAAATCATTTGGCAGTAGATGGAGGATTTGCTGAGGACAAGATCTCCTGGGCCGAATTCTTTGAAATGAAGCATACACTTTGCCCAAACACCCCCCATAGCTGCCTTAAAGAGGGCTTCAAACATCTTATACATCATAGTGCTTTGTTTCAAAGGGTTTTATTTGCATATCCATAACATCCTTTAAAGCAGAGTTCCAGCTGAAAAAAACAAACAAAACAAAAGTCAGCCGCTACAAGAACTGTAGCGGCTGACTTTTAAAATACAGCCCCTCGGTCCAGTGGTGTCCTCACCACTGCCGGTTTCATCGGCCATCTTCTCTCCCTGGTGCCGGCATCTTTAGTGTGGGCACCCAGCTGTGACAGCTTGCAGCTACACAGCCAGCTGCCCACTGCGCGAGAAGCGCTGCACTTTGTGAATGGCCCTGTAGTCTTCTGGGACCTGTCACGTGTCTCAGACTATAGGGAGGGAGGATAATTTCCACTTCCGATCACTTAGGCGATTGGAGAGGGTACCTGTCAAATTTGGGTACTCTCTACCCAAAGGTGCCAATCCTTAATGGGGAGCAGGGGACAAAGCATTAAAGCAGAACTTCTTTAAAGGGGAGTTCTACCCAAAAGACCAGGACCTCCTCCATCGAGACTGTCAGGGTCTTATTCAAGTAGTAAATTGTCAAATGAATAGCTAGAGAACCATGTTTTGTTTTTTTGGTGGGGGGGGGGGGGGGGGTTGATGGATTCCTCCTCCACCGATTACTGATGAGCAATTACTTCAGGGATGAGAGGACATTTTCTACATGAGCCTAATTAGTATACATCACTTCCTGTAAAATGATGCACAGAAAAATATTTGTGATTCTGCTCCCAGACCCAAATTCAGTGACTTTGTTCTCCAATACTTCATCCTCCTGCAAATCCTTGCATCACAGGCGGTCCAACCTAATGAGAACCTAGAGAGCTGTTCACACAAATCAGAAATGGCAGCTGAAAATTCCTCCCTAGACCGAGAAGGGCAGGTATTCAGAACTAAGATGACCTTTAGGGGAGCTATGCAGGGTACACCCCATCTTCCCCTCTGTCTCCCTGCTCAGTGTTATGGCTTGCTGAAGGTAATAACCTATAACCTCAATAACGTTGTCACCCAGCAGAGAGGAATGTCGAGACCCCTGTAGGACCTCCATAGTCATTGTGGAAATAGCTGTAGTTGCATTTTCGCCTGTTTGCTTGGCTGCCCATGCTGCCTTTGCAGTGCAGCAAGACACATTGAGTACATGTGTGTCCTAACCGGCTAGAATTTAAGATGGCACCTGTGTAGTCTGATGCGTCATAGCATTGCGGTCTGATGGCTGCCTCTTCTAAACACTGCTTTGGTAGTATAGCGCTCCATTGGCAATAGAGAGCAGTTGCCTGATAACTGTACGGATAGCACTGCTTAGCACACCAGGGAAATTACCCAAAGGGTTTAACTACATTCACAGTCCAGCTGCAGTGTTTGAGAGAGACTCTTAGCCCAAACCACATCCAGACAATGGAGGAAAATTGCCCTAGCAAAATAGGGTGATTGATTCAGACACTCACTTTGCAAAGGTGATGGTTACAGTGAAAACTACCTTGTGGGTGGATTTGAGGAGAGTCTCCTAAAAGTCAGAGCTTGACAGCCTCTAAAACAGAATATAATGGGCAGAGATCTGACTCTTGATGCTGGTCCAGACCCAGCTGCAGAAAGGAGAGGTTTTGCCAACAGAAAAACTTCTGGGGTGGAAGCCCATGTCCAATGATAGACCTTGGGGAAAGTAGACTATATAGCTTTTAGCATCAAAGAAATCAGACTCAGATGTCCTGTCTCTGAGAACCTGGGCCTCAACATCAATGTTGTTAAATCCAGTAACTTTGAAGCAGAAGATCTGGCAATGGCCACAGTGTTTTGCTGGGTTGGCATATCAGATCCACCTGGAATAGTGAGGATCACTGAAAAGCCCTCTCTTGATCCTGTGAAGCATATAAAGATGTTTTCAGGGAGGAAATGTAAACAAAGGGTGAACTGATTGTACAGAGCATCCATTTCTTCTGCTAGAGAATCACTGCACTTGAAGACAAACCTATCCAGTTTGGTTATGTATGTCCAGGTTCAACAACAGTGTCCCCACTTGTAATGCCTCTGGGTAAAGGGACCATTGCCCCTAGGTTCAGGTTCTGGCAGCTGAGGAAGTATGCCTGCTAGTTTGTCTACTCCTGGAATGTCCATGGCTAGAAGCCTTTCTCAGGACAGGATTCAATCTACCTCTATTGCCACTGCAAGACTTCCTGATGTATGCCACCTCAGTGGCGGTGTTTGACTGAATCCAGATTGGATGGTGTAGCTCTACAGAAACAGCAAAATTGCACAAAGTTCCAGGATGTTAATTGGGAAGACAAGATTCTGATGGAGACCAAGTCTCCAGCACTGACAGGGCACTCAGGACTCCTCCCCTGCCTAATAGGCTGGCATCCCCCAAAAGAGCAAGCTCTATGGAAATACCAGCAGCTGTGGACCTAGAAAGCACGTGATGATCATGTACAGTCTATCCCTGCAACAGGATCTGGATGCAATACTTCAAAAGCCAGACAAAAAAACAACCATGCCAAAGAGCTACAGTTAGAGCGATAAAGCTCAAGCTGATGTTTAGAGTTGTGATTGAAGAGAAAAGGTGCTATCCAAAAATAAATGTGGCTACAGCACAGATGAAGAAAAGATGTTCTTCATCCTACGATACTAGCAAAAAAGTGAGGCATGGTGGCAGTAAGGAGGGGTTCTCCTGGGCCTAGCCTACAGTTTGTGTTTGCTAGTGTTTGGTCTTCCTGGAGGTAGGAGCATAGAGCTTACATAGCCTTCTCAGTGCTACCCTGTGCACCCCAGACTTCATTAGAGAGTCTACCTGCATACTGGAAATAGTTTTTTTTTTATTATTATTTAAGCAACCCCAAGCATTATTTGTCACTTTGTTCAATCCTGTGAACCTGATAAATTTAACTTTAAGTAGGTCAGTCAGTTATGCTGTAACTGTACCAAAACTACATCCAGATGGATTTGCTAAGTACTTATGATGCTATTTTTCTTTTACCAGGTCCCATCGGTCAACTCCCAGACTACAATCAAATACGCAGTGGCATGCATTGGCTTAGACAGTGATGACTATTTCTAAAGACATTTATATTTTTTAAACCAAATGTGATTTGCTGAATACTTTTTTTTTTGTAATGCAGACTCTTTAGGTTTGTAATATGAGCCTTGTAGGACTCTAACCTAAAAAATATACTTGTTTCAGTTGTGTAGGACTATGTTAAAACTAATGTGCACAATGCAACAAAATCTGTCAAACCATTTTTGTACAGTAAAAGAAACAATGTTTAATATAATTTATCCAACCAAATACTTGTAGTATTTGCTTCATTTTATTATAAAACATGACACACAAACAGATCGTCCTCATTTCTTGGACTTTGTTGCATTCAATACTTGTTCTTGAGCAGCTTTTTTGGCTTTCACCATTTCTACGAGTTCCTGGTAAGGTAAAGCAGAACAAACAATCAAATGCATTAGTAAAAAAATAAATATATCCAAGAGCTCATAAAATGATGTTAAATCAGCCTTTGTAGAGTATGAGTGTATTCTATTTCCCCCCATTTTTTTTTTTTTTGTCATTTGAGATTTTTCAAGTAGCGACAGAGAAAGGGTACATCAAACTTGTCAGTATTACAACATATACAGCACATTCCTCCAGTTCTTTAGCCTATTATTACAATTTCAATAGTGGTTAACACTAGTGGTGGGGAAACAAAAACTACTGACATTATCAGTAACACCACCACCATACACTCGATACCAGGGGCTATATCCCAAAGACATAGAAATCGTATTGGAGACACAAGGGGATCCTGTCATAGTCAGGCAAAATAGAACAAACATCAGCAAAATAATACCCGAAGCATACACGTAGAATATGCACATTTAAATCTGTCCAACTCAATTGGTGCAACAATCAGGCTGGTTACCCATGCTTCCCATAATTTTTTCAGACAACCTCTGTGCTAGTAATTCAAAGTTTCTAATGAAAGTGTGGACCCCCCCCCCCCCCCCATACTTACCTAGGTGGGTACAGCACTGGTCCCCTGCTGGCTCAAAGTGTGAGAACTCAGCGATCACAAGCCCGCTGTGTTCTCACAGCTGTTTTGAGTAGATAGCGGTGACTGACAGTCACCACTATCAGCAGCTCGCTGAGAAGTTTGCCTGTAGTTCAGATCTAAAACAGATTTAGATTGCATTTACTGTAAAATCTTTCTTAAAGTCAGCTGAGGGACACAGGTTCCCTTTTTCTCTGTTTACTGCTCCCAACTTTATGGATGCAGAGTAACATGGGCTGGCATAATATTGCCAGTGTCTAAACCAGGGTGGGCAAACTTTTTGACTTGAGGGCCGCAATGGGTTCATATATTGGACCCGGGGGCCGGACCAAGAGTAGATGAATGATGTGTATGTGTCATCCATAGTAAGTATAGTAATATTCCCCCATAGTAAGCATAGTAATTAATCCCCCATATAGTAATTCGTCCCCCATATAGTAATTCGTCCCCCATATAGTAATTCATCTCCCCTAGTAATTCATCCCCCCCTATAGTAATTCATCCCCCACATAGTAATTCATCCCCACATAGTAATTCATCCCCCATATTAATTCATCCCCCATATAGTAATTCATCCCCCATATAGTAAGTCCTCCATATAGTAATTCATTCCCCATATAGTAAGTCCTCCATATAGTAATTCATGTAAGTCCTCCATATAGTAATTCATTCCCCATATAGTAAGTCCCCCATATAGTAATTCATTCCCCATATAGTAAGTCCTCCATATAGTAATTAATTCCCCATATAGTAAGTCCCCCATATAGTAATTCATCCCCCATATAGTAAGTCCTCCATATAGTAATTCATTCCCCATATAGTAAGTCCCCCATATAGTAAGTCCTCCATATAGTAATTAATTCCCCATATAGTAAGTCCCCCATATAGTAATTCATTCCCCATATAGTAAGTCCCCCCTATAGTAATTCATCCCCCATATAGTAAGTCCTCCATATAGTAATTCATTCCCCATATAGTAAGTCCCCCATATAGTAATTCATCCCCCATATAGTAAGTCCTCCATATAGTAATTAATTCCCCATATAGTAAGTCCCCCATATAGTAATTCATTCCCCATATAGTAAGTCCCCCCTATAGTAATTCATCCCCCATATAGTAAGTCCCCCCCCCCTGTGTCAATTCACTTACCTTTGGTCCGCGCATTCCTCTCGTATTCCCGCGCCGTTCTGGTCTTCAGGGAGGACTGTGAGAGGAGTTCGTCACGCTGCCCCGCCTACATCCTGGCTGCCCCGCCTACATCCTGACAGCTGCAGAGTCCTGACGTCCGAGAGGAGGGAGGGGGGCGGCCATCCGAGAGGGGGGGCGGCCATCCGAGAGGAGAGGAGGGGAGAGGAGGGAGGGGGAGCGGGCGCCCGGCACACAGGAGAGCCGCATCTAAATTTGTAAAGAGCCGCGGCTTGCCGACCACTGGCCTTGCGGGAGCCTAGCTCCGCGGGCCGGATTAAAAGGTCCGCCGGGCCGTAGTAGTTTGCCCATTGCTGGTCTAAACCATATATCCACTTTATGGCAAGTACAAAAATCTTAATATTTTTCTTATCCATTGAGAGACAAAAGGAGTATAGAAGATTCTAGGACATCCAAAAGCAGTGCAGCAGAGTTTCTGGGCAAAAACCACTGACCAATCTAACAGACATTAATTATCTGATGGATTCAATACATGAACAAAGAGTAGAAAGGACAGGTAATCACTAAAGAGAAGCTGCTAATTGAAGAATGATGAACCTCAACCAATGTGGATAATAGCCAAATGTCACAAAAAAGTAAAACTACCACAACAGGAGCTGTTAACTGAAGACTGATGAACCTAAATCAATAATGTGAATGTCAGCCAAATGCCACAAAGTAATTAAAAAAAAAAAAAAAAAATACCAGGACAGAAAACTGCAAACCTCAGATATGAAATATGAACTAAGCATATCCCTCTATAGTGTGTACTTGTATGAAACCAGAGTACCAGGTATCATTTCTGTCTGCTTCCTCCATCTGCTATCCACATGAATCACTTCTGACACTAAGAGAAAAAAGGCGATGGGAGGGAGCTCCAGTAGAATGACAGCCTCAGGTCTGTTCCTGTGTGGAAGAGGGGGTGTCCTTTCCCTCCAATCAGCTGTCCTCACTAATGTAACTTCAGCTCTTTGCCCCTGCTTTTTAGAGCTGAGAGATCCTGTGTAAGGGGGAATCTGCCTATTTTTTTGCCAGCATCCCTTCACCTGACAGTGGCAGCATATCCCAGGTAGTCATAAATAGGAAGATTTCTGTGATGGATGATTTTTTTTTTTTCTGGGAATCCACTAAGGGTTTTCCTCAGTGGACTACTGGATGCTGGCAAAAAGCAAACTAGTCAGTGTTTGAGAGACTCGTAGCCCGAACCACATCCAGACAATAGAGGGAAATTGCCCTAGCAAAATAAGGTGGTTACAGTGAATATAAACGGCAGAGATCTGACCCTTGATGGTGCTGAGAGCCAAATGCTGGTCCAGACCCAGCAGCAGAGAAGGAGAAGCTTTGTCTACAGAGAAACTTCTGTGGTGAAAGCTCACACCAAGTAAAGTATCTCTCATGTCCAATGATAGACCTTGGGGGAAGTAGACTATAGCTTTTAGCATCAAAGAAATCAGACTTGGGGATGCCCCTGTCCCTGAGAACCTCTGCCTCAACATCAATGCTGTTAAATCCAGTAACTGAAGCAGGAAACCTGGCAATGCCCACAAAGTGTTTTACTGGGTTGGCATACCAGATCCACCTGGAACAGTGCGGATCACTGAAAGGTCCTCTTTCCTGATCATGTGGAGCAGATAAAGAGGTTTTCAGGGAGGAAATGCAAAGGGTGAACTGATCCTACAGAGCATCCTTTGCCTCAGCTAGAGAATCACTGCACCTGGAGACAAACCTATCCCAGTTTGCTGTTGAACCTGGAGGTACATAACCAGTGTCCCCACTTGCAATAAAAAAGGATGACAGGCGCATGGAAATAAGCGGTCCGCAGTCTCTAGCCTTAATGTGGGATCAGAAGTTGGTGGAGGAACAAATGGTCTGGAGACACCCAGCGAGCTGTGGTAGAGTGAAACGACACTCAAGTGGATAAGAGAAATGCAGCGCCTCTGAGTAGTCCAGACCCATCACCAAAACTAAGATGTATTTAATAGTGAACATAAAATAACCACTCACATGTAGAAAATGTGTAACGTGAGAGCAAGAAGAGAAAGTAATGTGTAATATAAGTGCACCACATTGAAGGTACTTATTGTATTAAACGTAAAAAAAAAAAAAAAAAATCCTCAACAACGTAGCCACCTGGTGCAATAGCTGATGATGCATATTTTATATATACACTGCTCAAAAAAATTAAAGGAACATTTTTTTAATCAGAGTATAGCATCAAGTCAATTAAACTCCTGGGATATTGATCTAGTCAGTTAAGTAGCAGAGGGGGTTGTTAATCAGTTTCAGCTGCTTTGGTGTTAAATTAACAGGTGCACTAGATGGGCAACAATGAGACAACAAAACAGGATTGGTTTTACAGGTGGAGGCCATTGAAACTTATTTCCCTACTCATCTTTTCTGTTTTTTCACTAGTTTTGCATTAGTGCATAGGGTCAGTGTCACTACTGATAGCATGAGGCAATACCTGGACCTTACAAAGGTTTCACAGGCAGTCCAACTTATCCAGGATGGCACATCATTACGTGTCATTGCCAGAAGGTTTGCCATCTCCCCCAGCACAGTCTCAAGAGCATGGAAGAGATTCCAGGAGACAGGCAGTAACTCTAAGAGAGCTGGACAGGGCCGTAGAAGGTTCTTAACCCATCAGCAGGACTGGTATCTTCTCCTTTGTGCAAGGAGGAACCGGATGAGCACTGCCAGAGCCCTACAAAATGACCTCCAGCAGGCCACTGGTGTGAATGTCTCTGACTAAACAATCAGAAACAGACTTCATGAGGGTGGCCTGAGAGCCCGACATTCTCTAGTGAGCCCTGTGCTCACTGTCCGGCACCATAGAGCTCGACTGGCATTTTCCATTGAACACCAGAATTGGCAGGTCTGCCACTGGCACCCTGCGCTTTTCACAGATGAGAGCAGGTTCACCCTGAGCACATGTAACATATTAAAGGGTCTGGAGAATGTAGAATGCTGCCTGTAATAGTATTCAGCATGACTGTTTTGGTGATAGGTCAGTGATAGTTTAGGGAGGCATATCCATGGAGGGACGCATAGACCTCTGCAGGCTAGACAATGGCACCCTGACTGCCATTAGGTATCGGGATGAAATCCTTGGACCCATTGTCAGATCCTACGCTGGTGCAGTGGGTCCTGGGTTCCTCCTGGTGCATGACAATGTGGCGAGAGTATGCAGGCAGTTCCTGGAGGATGAAGGAATTGATACCATTGAATGGCCCTACGCTCGCCTGACCTAAATCCAATAGAACACCTCTGGGATATCATGTTTCGGTCCAACGCTGCCATGTTGCACCTCAGACTGTCCAGGAGCTTAGTGATGCCCTGGTCCAGATCTGGGAGAAAATAGGCTCCAGAAGTAAAAAAAAAAAAAAAAAAGTGGATTCACCTGTAAGAAGGATTCTTCCAAGACATGGGAAGAAAATGATTCCCACTCTGACAAGAGGCAGCAGTTAGTGGGAATTAATGGCCTGAAGGTACAGTTTGATATTATTGCCCAAGTTCCAGATTTTCCAAGGGAAGTACTGAAGAGAGAATATGTGACGTGGGAAGACATACCCCCAAAAACCCACAAGAACTTCAAGAGGAAAAAAGGAAATCATCTGCAATGGAAAAGGCATTCAACCACCTATGACACTAGGCAGATACTTATCCAACATGCCATACCATCAGGGAGGCTTGTGAGTGGCTCCAAATTTATTCTGCAGTAGGATATACCTGCATATAACCTTTGTACAGTACTGTATATGCACACCAGACTATGACCAACCTTATATCTTTTCATGCAGTCCTTCTTGGACCTGCCAGGGACAGCATCTGCAATCCTTTCCTTCCATCTTTCTGGAGTATTCACAGGATAGGTCTTGAGTGCTTGCTCTAGAAGCTTTTGTTCTTCAGTTGTCCATGGAACAGAATCTCCACTGGGACCTTGGAAGGGGCAGAATTATAAGGTTAAAAGAATAAATGCCACTGAATTCTCAGTGTATTAAGTCTTTTTTACAGCATTCACATGGATCCTCAGATTACAATTTTAAATGTAGGTTTACATCAAGTGTGCTTTAGCCATAGCTGGATTTAAAGTTGATTTCCAGCTTTACTATGACTTTAGTTTGTTTGGGCCAGCTACTTCCAAGACATGAACACCGCATTCCACCCAGATCAGGTTCTGAATGAATACAAAGCTTCCTCTAATTAGCTGTGGTAGGCAGACAATGCCACAATCTCTGCCTCAGCCGATGTGACTGTGAATGTATTGCAGAAATTTTGTTTTGTTGTTTTTTTTTAGCCCTGACATACACTTTAAATTACAGCTTTGAAATATAGTATGCAACGAATACTCACCACCACATAAACTAGAATTTTTGAGGTGGTAGTTTATCCAGGATTTAGAAAAATATGAAGTTCTGTAGTAAGTGCTATATCAAGATGATGCAGATTTCACAAACTGCAAACCAGTAATGACCACTGACAGGCTGATATGCCTCTGAGTGTTACATAAATACCTTCAAAGCGCTCTGAAGGCACAGCATTGTCCACAGTCAGAGGTACAGCTTTGTGCTCTTTCTTGAATTTATCAAATGCTTTTTTTGTTGATGTCATCCTTTTGATGAGGATCTGTACAGAAAAAAAAAAAAAAAAAAAAAGAAGTATGAATATACATTCAGGAATATCATCTTCTGTAGTTTGTAGTGTGCATTTTAGTAATGCTGACCTCAAATGATACACGTCTCAGAACACTAGAATGTCAAGCATTACAGCACAAGCATGGGAGAACAGGATATTTTGTTTCTAGAAAACAGATTTGTCAAAGCACTTATTTACCTAATTTCTGTAGCGACTTGGCCTTATTAATTACATCTTTTGCTGTCCTTTTTAATCCAGAAACAGAATGCAAATTCATATAATTTGCAATAACTTCCCACCTGTAGACGCACAGAAAAAAAAAAAAAAAAACATTACGAACAGAAATATATTATGTCAGATGCAAATATGAATCTGTGTACAGAAGCATTTTTTCTGATGGTACATGGTAGATACCTGTAATTGATTTTTAAATGACAGCATGCAGTTGGTAAAACAGTCTAAATGAAAACACTCTTTGTCTAAAAATACCCACACTACCAGAACCCAAACATTTTACACAGTACTAGTGGTTTTCACTATTTAACAATTATATGAAGTGATATCCAAATTGTACGAATTACTAAAAATATGGAAAAGCTCATTAAAGCAAACCAATCTGTAAAAACCAAGAACTCATCAGTGGCTGATGAAACGTTACTGCTGGGGTTGAGTGCCAGCAAAATACCTGAACCCTTCTGGTATTATATGGGTGCCTGCAGGCCCACATCCAAAGTCGGTAGGTTAGTTCCTATTTGCATTGAAGAGGAAATTAAACGGTAAGCATAGAAGGTTGGGAATAGGTATATAAATAAATCTGGACAGGTCTACTTCAAAGTATGGTCACAATAAAAGGCTGGGCCAACTATACACCAAATAATTGAAAAATACCCTTTACTCTCTTTGTCATCGCAAAAGAAGAACTTTATATATTTCACTGCCAGTGTACTATGTAACCACAAAACATTTTTTAATATCAAGATTCCGTATAAAGCGTATATAAAGGAGTCGGCCATGCACACTACATGGCAAAGAGATATCAGATATCAATGCTACAAAAAAGCAGTCTTTTCCAACAACTCCATGAAAGTTTGCTAAATATTTTTTTTTTTTTTTACATGTGCACTTTTGTATTGTGGATTTTTTTATTTATAGGTTATACATAAAAGGTACAGGGACATATATAAGCATATATTACCCCACCCTTTGTACAGCCTTGCTTCGCAGCTATACCAGTTCCTGAGCACCGTGGCACACACACAAAAAAACAACAACTATCCTATGTGCTAAAATGGGAGAAGAAAGGGAAAGCCCTTATCACTGGATGTTTGGATCCAAACCATCAAATGTACCTCTACTATTATGGCCCTTTAAAAGTCCTAAATACCCCCACCCCCATTCCTTTTTTTCATGCAAGAGTTAAAAGGACTGATCTTTGGCATCATGGGTGGTTGGAGTGAAAAAGGCTTACCCTTCCATCCTAAAGCAACAGGACGGGAATATTCACACCAATTTCTCTGGACTACCAACAGAGGAAACACAAAAACTCAAGGCTGCTTCCTCTCAGGTTATTTTTTGTGTGTTTACAACTTATGATTCCTATTTTAGATTGGGCGCGCCATCTCTCCAGTTTCTATTCACATCAGCATCAAAGCTACTCTTACACCAGCTGGGGATTGCCAATGAGGAGCTACGCAAGACATCCTCAGAAAGATGCCTTTCTACTATTAGTACAGAATGAAAACTATGGGTTAATATCAAACTACAAATTTATAAGTGGCAGTGTGACTGAGGCTTAATTTGACCAAATGTTTGCTAGAACAGCAATAGATTAAAGGATAAGTTCATTTATTGGACAAAAATAATAAATGCACAGGGATGTTGGATTTCTATCGCCCGACGCCAGGGACATGTAGTTCCGGGCGCCGGGCAGGTGGTTTCTTTCTACCTTTAGCCCTGCAGGTTTTCTTCTAAGATTGCCCTGTATTTGGCTCCATCCATCTTCCCATCAACTCTGACCAGCTTCCCTGTCCCTGCTGAAGAAAAGCATCCCCACAAAATGATGCTACCACCACGTTTCACAGTAGGGTGATGTGCAGTGTTAGTTTTCCACCACACATAGCATTTTTCTTTTCGACCAAAAAAGTTCAAATTTTGGTCTCATTTGACCAGAGTGCCTTCTTCCATATGTTTGCTGTGTCCCCCACATGGCTTCTCGCAAACTGCAAATAGAACTTCTCTTGGCTTTCTTGCAATAATGGCTTTCTTCTTGCCACTATTTCATAAAGGCCAGAGTTGTAGAGTGCACGACTAATAGTTGTCCTGTGGACATATTCTCCCACCAGAGCTGTGGATCTCTACAGCTCCTCCAGAGTTACCATGGGCCTCTTGGCCGATTCTCTGATTAATGCTCCCCTTGCTTGGCCTGTCAGTTTAGATGGACGACCATGTAGGTTTACAGTTTTGCCATACTCTTTCCATATTCGAATGATAGATTGAACAATGCTCCGCGAGATGTTCAAAGCTTGTGTTTTTTTTTTCTTTTATAACCTAACCCTGCTTTAAACTTCTGCATAACTTTATCCCTGAACGGTCTGGTGTGTTCCTTGGCATTCATGATGCTATTTGTTCACTAACAAACCTCTGAGGGCTTCACAGAACAGCTGTATTTATACGGAGATTAAGTTACACACAAGTGGACTCTATTTATTAATTAGGTGACTTCTGAAGGCAATTGGCTCCACTAGATTTTAGTCAGGGGTATCAGAGTAAAAGGGGCTAAATACAAATGCACGTCACACTTTTCAGATATTTGTAAAAAAATTTGAAAACCATTTATCATTTTCCTTCCACTTCACAATTATGTTCCTCTTTGTGTTGGTCTATCACATAAAATCCTAATAAAATACATTTCTGTTTTTGGTTGTAATATGACAAAATGTGGAAAATTTCAGGGAGTATGAATACCTTTTCAAGGCACTGTACATGCTACCTTACCTATCAGAGCTCACTATGAGCCCAAAACCTGAAATGCTTTATTAAGCAAAATTCGACTAACATTTGAATAAGAAGTCAGGCCAACCCTCTTGTGCCCGACTACTGGCTTGCAAGGACTCCATTATATTCATGGGCCAAAAGCGAGATTCAAAAAGAGGTGAGTGCGATCATCTAACCCAGTGATCTACAAACTGCGGCCCTTTGCTTGCCTTTATGCGGCTCTTGGGGTACTTTTCCTCTCAGTGATACAAGTATATTCTGCCATGTGACAACAATGGGACACCATTTTTCCCACTGGCACCAACAATGGGACACTATTCCTCCCCCTAATAGCAAACAAGGCAATATTTACTCTCACTGATGCCAGAAAATATTCCAGTTCCTCTGGCCAGTCAGACACCCCCTAAAGTCTGAAGGACAATGATCTCGCCCTTTGTATAGCAAGTTTGAAGTCCCCTGATCCAATCACTGAAATGGGTCAAAATATTCATAATATAGCAGACCACCCTACCCAAACCATTGAAAGAATGATCCCGCTTAATATGATAATCTCTCATAAAACATAGTAAAGCTACCATTTACATCAATTTCTACTTTTGATGTTTCAACTGTTTCCATTTCAAAGATGATACTGGAAAAAAAATAAAAATCACTAGTGTACCCACCACGGAAACAACACTGTCTCATCCCTGAGCAGCAGCATCCCAGACTACCAAAATATGTGTGGGAGGAGTGGCAATAACAATTTTGCAAATCAAACATTAATGACAGCCTGATGTGTAAGGAAATTCAATAGATTCAAATAGATACAGCGCAAAACAATCTTGAAGCAACTTCTGGTTCTCACCTTGCATTTGTTCCAGCAGGAAATAAGTTCACAGCTTTAATAAGTAGCTGCAAGTCATCCTCTGACCAAGACTTGCTGCTGCCCCCCGCCTCCTGAACCAGACTGATCTGCACTCTTTGTGGACTGCTTCATCCGAGCCTCCTCCTGCTCCTTTTCTCTTTTAATCTGTGCATTCACCTCTGAAATCTAAGGAGCACAGACATGCTCACAGGCCTCATCCATTCAGATATGCTAACCAATACAGACTATGGTTTTTAAAGGATGTCATTCAAAAGTCAGCTGCATCCAGCTTGCTTCATTACAGTAGGTGTTAATGTCTCACAATCACAGAAACCACATTTCCTAACAACTGCTAGACAACATGCACTGGGCAAGAATGCCCTTAATTAGGAAAGGTTGCCTTTTCTAAAATGTATCTAGTACATAAAACTGAAAAATCTGGATGTAGTAAAAGGATGTAGTAAAACTGGAGAGTTTGTTGTTGGATAGAATAAGAAAGAACGACACGTGTGATAAAGATGTGGAAACCCATGCATGATGATTATTATTATATGCTCTTACAGCTTTCTTTTTTGACAATGACAAAGGGGAAATGAAGAGGACATGGCATGCTTCTTGCCATATTTTTGTAAGTAAACACGCACATAAATAGCAGAGCGATAGCAGTAATGGCTTATACACACAAACTAATAAAAACATGTCTACTTATTCACTTACATGTTTCTCAACAGCAGTTTTCCCATCTTCTTTAGAACTTCCTGAAAGGGATTCGTTTAGTGACTGTAAACTGAAAGGACAGCATGACCAAGAATTAGGAACACACACACTGAAAATGACTAAGAAATTAACCTTTTCAATGGCATAAATGACCAATATAATTGCCTCTTTCTCTCATAGAACTGACAGTTTAAAGCAGAACTCTGCTCACCTCAACTTCAGCGATGCAGTGTCCCGGAGCTCCCCGCCTGCCCGGCTTCCAGACCTCAAATTGTTGGCTGCTTTCATTGGGAGGGGGGGCAGGGATGACGTCACTCCCACGCATGTTCGGATGGATTTGGCATTGCCGGATTTGTACAGAGAGCTGCACACGTGCAGCTAACTGTACGGGGCAGATAGGCAGGTACGTAACTTTAATGCAGCAGGGACAAAGCATGTCTCTTCTACATTAAAATTCCTGCCTGTTCGCTCTTTTTTTAACCAAAAGTTCCACGTTAAACATTAATCAACGAGTACTGCCATCTGTCATTTCTTTTATTCATATTTTAAAGGATGGTCATCATATAAAAGAGAAATTATTTTCAGAGCATAACTAGATGAAATTAATTACCTTGCTACCTCCAGACGATCACAGAGTTTTTCAATTTCTTCCATCATTTTCACACTGTCTGCTTCATTATCAGAAAAATAATTCCAATTCTGAGGGGTAAAGTAAAAGAAGTAACAGTTTGCTGGGGAAGTCTTAACTAAATCAGTTTTTTTTTTTATTACCTTAGTAGGTAATATTCTTCAGCAGCTTTTCTACACATTACAGTAAAAGCAGAGCTGTTTCTAAACTCAACCATATTTATATGAAGCAACTAAGAGTGAGGTTCTAGATGATTATACTCTTCTCATTCATTCTGTGATATTTTGAAAGAATTGCAGCTGATTCTAGTACATTATAAGGTGTGTTGCCTGACGTAACCTGAGCCTATAGAAATTCTGCAGCATGTATGACATCAGATCACTGCCACTGGGAAGCTGTGAAATAACATCTAAACTAAACAGTGTACTGTGGAAAGCTGTGGAGGAGAGAGGGCTGCAGGTAAACAATACAGCAGGAACAACGTATTTAGGAGAATTGTTTTAATTCATCACTGTATATCACCTGACATAGGTCACTTTAGTGGACTTTTAAAAGGGTTTATCATCACTTTAACGTACTGCCCTTTTCACTTCTAACTTCCCCATGAAATTTGCTTTATAAATAAATAAACCTTGCATGATGTGCGCAGTCTCTGTCGTTCCTTTTTAATGGCTTTTTTCTGTATTTCTTTTTCCTTTTTGGCTACAAGAGCTTGCTGACGAGCTTCCTCTTCTTCTTTCTCTTTTGCTAATCGAACAGCTTCCAGCTCAGCTTGCCTTTGCTGAAAGAGATATACATGCTTATTAGTTTTTTGCATACAGTTATCTACTGTCATATACTGTGAGCAGGAAAGTTTTTTTTATTATCGAAGAGACATGCAATGTCTCTTCTGCAATGAAATACACTTACCTGTTTGCTCACAGTGATCCCTGCAATGTAAACTGTGCACAGCTTACATGATCCCTGCGTGCCAGCTCTAGCTATAGGACTTCAATTCTGGAGCCCAAGATGAACTGTTTTCACTGGAATGCAAGTTTCCAGCCAACAATTAACATCAAGGATGGAGTTAAATTAGGTTTAAGAAGAATGGTTCAAACCGACAAAAAATCTCACAGATGGAAAGCATCTTTACCAGTTATGTTAACATAGTGTAGATATGCCCATGTGTGCCCACACTTGCCCATGTGTGAGAACACTAAAACCTGTACCCTCATGGCATTAAAAATATTGTTCAGCTTGTGTTTCTACAATCCACATATACCTTTTCCTTTTCTTCGTGTTCTCTTCTTCTGGCGTCTGCTTTAGCTTTCTTCTCAGCTTCTTTCCTTGCCTTTTCTTCCTCTTTGAACTTCTTTATTCTAGGATCACTACTATATGCATTATCTATAGACATCAAAGACCTACAGTTATAGAAACTCATCCACATTCAGATAACAGTATACCTATTCCATTACAACACAAGAAATATAAAAAGAATCTATAGGAGCTCAGCTTTTCATGTATAGTATCTATTTACTAAAGCAGTCTTTTTGAGCCCATACCTCGGGTGTTTTTTCTTTGTGGTTGACTACAAGAAATATACAAAAAAAAAAACCTTTACCCTAAAAATGCCAGAACTGCAAAACTAAATTGTTTCCTTGTAAAAATGTACGCATATTGGGAAAAAAGAAAAAGGCAGCTACCAACTAATGTTCTTATTCTAATCATTTCTTCTTTTTTCCTCTGTGCTCGGGCAGCTCGATTTTGTTTTTCGATCCACCTCCTCTCATCACGGCTGTGAACAGTTTAAGAAAAAGTGTTGTTAGTGCTTATGAGAAATTATTGGCACCCGCTAACATTACAATGGAGAGTTTAACAAACAGTACAGTTTTATCTGTAAAGGCTTAACAAGAAGTATTTCACGTAACACAATAAAGAGACAAAATCAACACTAGAAACAGGTTTACAAGAAAAGTGTCCAGAGTTTTGTACATCTAAGCATTTCAGTTGGCACAGTGTGTATGACAAAAGTGTGTCTTTGAGCTAAGCATTCCAGCTGGCACAGTAGACAGGTCATATCAGTAGGCACTTAAGCTAAGCATACAGGCAGGCACAGTGTGTATGCCAGGTCAGTGGTAGTGGCTCTTCGAACTGATCATTCCAGTACGTACAGTGTGCATGTCATAACTGTGGCTATGTTAAGTTTAGCAAAAAAGAAATACACATATTTTAGCAATATATTTTACAAAAAAAAAAAATGTGCCCCCCCAGGAGCCTGCAAAGTTTTGCACCCACAATTAGTGGATTGTGGGTGTAATGTCAGGCTCCTGCAGACACTTCCTTCAGCACTGTACAGGCTTTCAGTTAAAAAGCTGGAAGAAGTGTGAGTGGACTACAAGTGCACCAATTACCATACTTGTAGTTCAATGGGACCTTCAAGTCCATCAACCGTGCTGGCAAACAGGACATGTAATTTGTTCATTCACATCTCTGTGAATGAATGAAGTGGCGCCGCTTTTATTTGTCACATTGCCTGTATGGGAGAGAGAACCCCCCCTGCATGCTGTCAGGGGTAACTATGTTTCTGAGGGTGGGAAGCAGGTGCTTAAGAACATGTTTTGTGTTATACCCCAAATACAGATGTAAAATTTAACATATTCCTAAAGGTGAACTCAGCCTTTAAACTAAGCATTAAATTAGATACTGAAGGAGATTTACTAAAACTGGTGCACACAGAATCTGGTGCAGCATTGCTTTGTAACCAATCAGCTTCTAACTTCAGCTTCTTTAATTAAGTTTTGACAACAAAACCTAGAAGCTGATTGGTTACGATGATCAGCTGCACCAGATTCTACGTGCACTAGTTTTACTACAGCTCTCCCACTGTGTTCGTGCCGTATCTTTTGGTCCTTGAGCTAAGCATTCCATTAGGCAAAATTTGTATGTCATATCAACAATTTTTTCATAACAAGCAGAATTTGAGGCTAATTATTTTACTTCCCATTTAAACACAACCATTTACTGGTACAATGTTGTGATCTGGCCTTAAATGTTTAAGGGAAGATCTTGTATTTCAGCATGATCTATACAATAGGCACTATTTTGGACAACTCAGGTTCAATTGTTAATCATTAAACTGCATGAAAAGAAAACCTCAAAAACGTAAAACAAACATTACCATTCAGCTTTTTCTTTTTCTTCTTCATCCAAATAAGAAAATTCTCTCCACGAATCAAAGTTGTACCTTCAAGACAAAACAAGTATAATCTTAATGTTTTGAAATAAAATACTTTCTTAATAACCCAAACAAACAGTAGAAAACAAAAAACACCTTAACATGAGTAAAAGTAAACCTACCAGAAGGAATAAAATGAATCTACATCTTCAATTGATGTGTTCATGTCACCAAGTTTGGCAACATTTTTCTTATTTGACCACCTAAAATATAGAAATGGCTCAGTAAATCATCCATTGTAATAAATAGCATAAAACATCAACTATATTAGCGTGTTACTAAACCCATGACCCTGCATTCACTCTATCTGGTCTCCCACAGAACATGGAAATGCAATTATTTTAGTAAATATAAACTGTGAAATACTTTCTCATCAGCAGTATATAGCGGTCTTATGATTTCTATCATTGTCTGGTCAAGTAATGGTTAATCTTGTACATTGCAGAACCCCGAACCCTCTATCCAGAGGGCGCTGATTGGCCCTGTGCTGATCACATGCACCCTCCCAAAAAAAAAAAAAAAAAATCTCCATCAATACACAAAAAACAAAGCATGTGCAGACTTGGCGCTGCTGCTCTGTACCATGGCAGATGGATTAGGGACTGTGGAAGAAGAGGAGGATCAGAGAAGACAGGATCAAACAGCCTTTTTTACACAATGCAGAGGATTAACCCCCTAGGTTCCACAATAAGTATAGCAAGCATGCTTTACTGCATATATAGACTAATTTTACTGTTGTGGGTTTATTAACACTTCAACAGTGTTCAAAAGAATACAACTAAAATATATTAAATTTACTTTTTACTGTAAAAAATTCATAATTTGAATACACAAGGCTACAGTCTGAGTAAACTTACAAGAACATAGTACTTGGAAAAGAATCCTGAGATTCTTATGATTTCTTAGATAACTCTTTATAACACAATGAGGCTCCATGCACACGGGGCGTTTTAATAATGCTGGTAACATTAGCTGTGTAAAGTCACGTTAAAAACGTGAGTTTTTCAGCGTTTTTGCATTAGCGTTCAGTGGCGTTTTGCCATGTTTTTTTCGTGTTTGCATTTTTTAGCGGTTTTTGTTACCAAAAAAGTCCAAAAATGCCAGTATGATGCGCTTTGCCGAGTTTTTCAGTGTTAGAGCGTTTTTACAGCTAAAAAACTCCCCTAGAAACCCACCAATTCTGTATTTTTTCCAGCCAAAAATCACCCCTGCAAAAAAAAAAATTGATTACAGTCTATGTGTGAATGAACACATAGGATAACATGCTGGGGGTTTATTGGCTGTAGAAAAAACCGTCAAAAGCCAAAAACAGCAGCTGTAAAAATGTCCAGTATGCATGAGGACTGAAACACATTATGAGACTGAATCTGAAACAAGTTTTATGTAATCGGAGGTGAAAAGTATAAATTAACACTCTAGCTTCAGGATTTTAAGTTTACACGTTCATCATTTACAGGGAAAAAGACATGGGCAATTAATAAATTAAGTATATTACAAAGGCATAACTTACCTGCTATTTCTCTCGAACACAGGAGAAAATACATCAAAGAAGTTGTCTTTCCCCTCACCCTTTGAAGGTACTGAATTGTCAAAGGTAGGATCAACACTGTTAAATGCTCTTCTCTTCACGGGGTCAGATAAAATTTCATATGCTAAAACATAACAAAAAAGAGTTCTGTAACTATAAATTGTAATAAACTTTTGTACTGCTTATCTGGACAGCTTGACCTTCACCAAAATTGAAAGTTTGACTGTCATTCCTACTCTAAGAAGCCATCAGCATATAAAGCACAAATTGTTCCAACTTTCTTTCCTGTTACCCAATATCAGATTTTGCCTGCTCATTGACACAACTTAAACTATACTTTCTTGTACTCTTGTCTTCCCATCCATTTATCTTTCTATTTCCCCATATTCTTCCTTTACAGGGTATCTGTCAAATTAGGAAAGGCGTTTGTCTGTCATCTTGAGCCCTCGTTCACACTAAATGCAGCTTTGAAATTGCTTGCCAACATCTATGAGACTTCATGCACAAATTTCAATGCAAGTCCCACAAGAAATTGCTAAAAACAATGAAGGAACCTTTTTCAAAATCAGTGCAAATTGGAGTCACACTGATTTGAATGGTTCCAAATAGGGTACGAATTGTCATGCGATTCTGAACTGTCAAACCACATGATAAATCGCATTGGTGTGAAAGGGGCTTCAGTAAATTCTCTTTCAGAATAGTTTTCTGTGAGCTGGTTCTCTCTCCATTACTGGATTTTGTACATTACCATTGTAAAGTGATTCACCCACCTTTTACAAGGGTTGTTAGAACATGTAAGCTTTCCAGATATATAAAATACACATGCAAATTCCTGGTCAATAAGTTACCAAAGAATAAACATAGAAACGATACCACCAGCTCCTGCACCTTCAAAATCAAGTTAGCTTCCATAATTATATCTTGAATAGTTGCTTTAATGCAGTCAACAGTGCAGTGTTTCTATCCTTCCATTTCTCTCTTAAGATCATCATTCTTTGGGGTAAATACTAACAGGCTGATGTCTCACGGAGAACAACAGGCAAAGACATTGGCCTGACATGGAACCTGCCAAGACTTGCAGCAATGTATTTTGCAGCACGACTGCTAGGTAAATGCAGTGAATGTATGTATGTAAAAAACTTCGTTCACTCAAACAATAAAATGGAAAAATAACAAGAGCTTCTAATGGCTGAATGCTATTTTTATTGCCCCCTCGCACAGCCCTGTACAGCACAATCTTCACCAGATTAACAAATGTGCTAGGTTTGGGCAATGCATGGCCATTATATGTGTACTGTAAGTCAAAGCATCTTGTTCAATCTGTACTCTGCAGACACTACAGCTGAATATGTTTTATAGACTGATATTTAGCTGTCCATCAGAAGCAAGTAACCTCAAGCTATTACACCTAAAACCCAATTCCTCCCAGATGACTTGAGAATGAAGAGCAGAGAGTCTGAGAGAGAGCACTAGAGTGGTGATGAGTAGTACCGCAAAAGCTGCTTTTAACAAGAGCAGGCCTAATCACTTAAGAAAGAAAAAACCTGTAACTGGAATTAAAATAGCAGTGCGCGTCCTGGTATGGGATTGTGCCTAGGCACTCCTATGCTTACACTCTCAGTTTATCTGTGGTGTAAGATCATCTAAGACACTGCTGCCTCTGACTGCTAGTCACATGAGACTAGGGGATGTAACTACTGTGCTGCTTGTTGGAGAGGAACCTGCACTGCATGTGCCTACCTGGTTTTTTTTCTTCATTTTTGCTGTTAATCTGTGCTTTTGTGAATCTCTCATGTTGCTTCTTAAATATTCCTTCTCCCGTTATCAAACCACCAGTCAATTCGTGGGCAGAACTGACCTAAGAAAAGTCCCTCCTCTACCAAGATGGCTGCTCCCTCACAGAAAAAGTACAGAAAATAAGACATTGTAGGTCATTTATAGGGAAAAGATCAGCTGCAGGGAGCCCAATAGCAATACTGGCGACTAGTCCTTTGTCCCTCTGCTTGCCTTTCTGGGCCTTTAATTTCTAGCTACTGAGAGATTCAATTACTTGATAGTAACCTAACTTGCTGAAATCAATGTGTTGCCAATGAATGGTTAAATTATTTAATAGGAAGATATTTAAACTGCATCCATAGGCTATTGCTTAATGTGTTTTTATAAAGGTGGGACTTAATAAATCATAGAACACAGATTATGAATAGAAGGTCATGCAGTCATGACAATGCAAATACCTTTCAATCAAATAGTGCATTTTACATGCATCGGTTTTGGATGGTTGTGTTCCGTAAGCTTCAGCAAAATGTCAACATTATTCTTACCTTTAGTTATACAGGTAAAATAGTCATTGTCGCCTTCGACTATCTGTTCTCCAGCAGCTTTTCTCTTGTCAGGATGATGTTTCAGAACCATTGCTTTATCTGATAAAAGCAAATTTCAAATATTTATGAAAAAATTCAGTGGCCGTGTTTGAGTGACTGAATTCAGTAAAGGCATTTATTACCTATAAAAGAACACTGAATGAACCTATAACTGGAATATATATAGTATCTGCATAACTGTAGGGACAAGCAAATATATTGAACTAAATATTGGATAAGTGGCAGAGATTTATTCTCACTACATGTCAGCAGATGAGGAGCAGCAGCTACTCGAGGATGCTTCTTTTTTTTTTTTTTTTTTTTTAACATTCTGCTGTATTTTTGGGATCATGGTTATCATGAAGACCTGTAAGTGAAGTGTATTTATGCAAAGGGATTTCACTTTCTACACAAAACAAATCTGTAAACTTGCAACAATACATATAACAGAATTCCAGTTTTAGGGGTCTCAAAATCCCCAAGAGGTATGTATAGGAAGATAAGCTTTCTTGCTTTACATTATTGTTGCAGATTTACAGATACTATTACTATTTGGAAAGGACTGCTTTATGTGAATTAACTAGAATTTATTTTAAGGTACTTACGTGCTGCTTTGATCTGCTTTTGTGTGGCCTTGTACCTCAGGTTTGCCAATCCAAGCACCGCATAATGATCTTGGTTCTATTTAGATATAATAAAAGTGCACAGCATTACTATTATGTCACTGTCAGTGATGCTCACTACTATCAGTCCTTCGGTATCCAATATGATCTGAATGAATAATTTAAAGTCTGTTTCCACACCGATGTGCTTTTTCTATTGTTTGTGCCAACTGGTAGGCTGAATCTCCTTCTGGCTACCTATAACTTTAGGTGAATACAATGGAGAAATTTCCAAACAGAAGTTCGTATCTCCAACCTACCACCACAAATTTGTAATTATGCTGTCACTCCGGCACCTGGATTCTAAAATTTGTTAACACATTTAAAAGGAGAATCTTATAGAGAAGAATTACACCATTAACAGTCCATAATGACCATAGCAGTAGGCCAACACCGAATATTCTGTCTGACATATGTTGGCAGTCCTGTAGAGAAGTAATTCATATTTCAAGGAACCATACAAAACTGACACAAAGGATTTGGGTGGTGTTAAAGATGCGACCTCTCCTGCACTGTTTATTTCTATTTAAAAAATGTTTCATTCTATTTATTGCAAAGCACTCCTTTAAAAGGATACAAACCTTCCAGTCCTTGGGATCAAGCGATTTCAGTAGTGCAAATTCCTCCAGCTGAAACTCTTCATCCTCTGACTCTTCAGAGGATTCCTTTTCATCCTCTAGCTCCTGGAATGAAGCGGACACATTTCTATTCCTACGTTTGATGAAGGCTTCAAACCATCGGCCCACAGGTTCAACTTGACACAGTAGTGAGGCTGTGATGATAAAACAAAAACAACATTAAAATCGAAAGTTGAAAGTTTTATTTTGATAGTGAAACTCAATCACACTACATACACACAAACTATCTTTACCAACAGATTTTAAGCCATTATTTTTCTAACATCAGTGATGCCAACAGATGGGGAGAGTAATCATTCACCTAAACAGGATTTCACCAGCCAACAGCTGCTGTTCTCTAAAGATTTATTTGTTCAGAGTATAACCTTAAAGTGAAAACAATGAGCATATTTGTACCATGTTTTTTTTTTTTTTACCATTTACTATTCTGGGATCAATATTCTCTTGAATGCCATCTCATTCTGTACAGCATCTCTCTTTTTCTGACAGTGACTTTTCTAATCACTACTTGCACAACTGAGCTTCCCTAGTGCAGTGAAAGATTTCTGAAAGAAAGCACAGGAGAAATATGGTGGCTGAAATTGCACCCTGGCTGCCCACCTGAATTGAAACAATACAGCCAGACAGGGCCATGGCCGCAGCATTTTTAACTTGGGGTGCAGAGTTTGACAGGTGGCACTGCCTGTAAAACTCGCCTACTGAATTCAATGGGGCCGCACCACAACTGCAAGCCAAATGCTCAGCTTCCAGCTGTGGTGCAGTCCCACAATGTAAAATTGTAATTTAAAAATTAAATAAAAAAAAAAAAATTCAGAAGGCAGCATTAGCACCTCCTGAATGCCTGTCAGCCAATGCTATAATACCATCTGAAAAGTGATGTGCTGTGAATTGCAGTCTGAAAGAAGCATTACTGAGTTAGGTAGTTAGAACTGCAAGGCTGGGGAGGTCACCATGAACTTTAAAGTGTTACTAAACCCAGGACCCTGCATTCACTATATCTGCTCTCCCACAGTACACACAACATGGAAATGCAATTATGTTAGTGAATATAAACTGCTAAATACCTTTTCTCATCAGCAGTTAGAGAAGTCTTGTGACTTCTACCAGTGTCCAGCTGAACTCTGGTTAAAGCTTGTAGGAGGCGTTTTGTGGGTTTAACACTTTAACTGTACCTTCACTCATCAAAACTAATCCATTGTATTCCCCAACCCCCCCAAAGTAGAAAAACTGACTTTTCCCCGCCATTTCCCTTTCTTTTTTTTTTTTTAAAGACTAGATTACGCACAGCCCCTGCTTCCATTCCTGCCTTGGTGATGATGCTCACTTCTTCTGGACCTCTTGGGATATGCATAACCCAAGAGGCTTCAGCTGAAGCATACACATCACTGGAGGAGAACGGACCCAGCGTGCATGATCTAGGGGCATGGCTCCCTAACCAGGAAGGGACAGCTGGCTACTGATGACTGAAGAGAGGAAGATGGTGGCACCAGGGCCCAGCAGCTGGAATTGCAACAGAACGATGACAGATTCACTGGGCGCAAGTATGTGAATGGAGTATAATCAGCAAACAGGTAAGAGAGGTTTAAAAAAAAAAATTTTTTACAGTTCCTATCAGGGTGGATTTGATTTAAATCAAACTGATTTAAATCACTAGTCGGTAAGGCTTGATTTAAATCCTAGTTTTCTACATAAAGACTAATTCTTGCTGGTATAACTTTAATATGCAAGTAGATGAAGATTTTTAGAATAACTTTTCATATTAGTTTTTTTATCCCCAGTTTAATAGGTTAATTATTCATATTTGGACAACTTTTCTGTTGTACTTAGGAAGGAGAAAAATAATCATTACCTTAATAACAACAATTTAAATAGATTTATTCAACTGAAACAATAACATTCAGCATATGTGATTTGCTTAAACAAACATCCATGTTTGTTAACTAATTTGGCTAAACAAAACATATATATTTTAAGAAACTTAGACTGTCAGCCCCTTCCTCCTCACACTTAGTTTCACTTTCTTCTTGTGCAGATCTATTCCACTGCAAACAATCAGAAAAATATTGTTTCTATTCTATTCACTGAACTTCTTGAAATTTAGCACTGAAGGGGTTGATTCTGTATTCATAGGTTTGTAGAAGTTAGGATTAAGGTCTTTTTCTTAACTCTGTTCATGTTATCACATTTTTGCTGTGAAGAAGAGGCATGTGATCTCCGCTGAGTCAAATTCAGTTTTGAGAACTGCAAAAGTAAACCAAACATCTGTGATAATATCTTGTAGGCAGAGAAACTGCCCAATAATCTTACAAAAACCGTTGGAAGAGCATGACATTGTGAATGGATTAATGGAATTTATTTACCAAAAAATTAAACATATACAGCCTTATTCTACATAATTAAAAAACTAATCTTTATTTCATGATGGAATAACCTTTGCATGGTAATATATTTTCCTCAAAAAGCATTTTATTTAAAAAAAATCCGATTTAAATAAAAAAAATCAGATTTTTTTTTTTAAATCATTGATTTTTATCCACCCTGGTTCCTATTCCCATATATATCTCTTTCATAAGAGGTAATCTGATTAAAGATTTCCACTTGCTACAGTAAATGAGAGAATCTAATAGATTCTTATATCCACACACTAAACAATGGATGGAGGTAACTCCCTTACTGCCATTGTATTCTGACATCAGAATAACTGAATACTGATTGCAGCTGACTAGATGTAGTTGCTGTTTGGCTGACAGTTTTTCACCCAACTCCTTCAAAAAGGAGGTTAGAAAATTTTGTTGAGCTGGGTGGTGCTGACAGAGCCACCAATGGCTCAAATTTCAGCTGATTCAACAGGAATTTAATGAAATTTGGGCAATCTATGGAAGCATTAAAGTAGAAGTAAAGCCAAAACTTTGTTTTAATTTTAGATAGAGTATGGGAGTGTTTATTACCCCTGGTTTTTGCGATGTGTCCCATTGAGGAGATTTCTCTGCACTTCCCGTCCCATAGGCAAAATGGGTAGTAAGAGAAAATCCCTCCAAAGTAAAGGAATCCCTGGTTGTGACTGCAGCAAATTCCCCTTTTGAAGATTTCCCCCTTAGTTTAGGTCTGGTGACAGCCCACACTTTGGGATTTAGTTTCACTCTCGGTGAGAACAGTAAGCAGGACAAATAGAGAGATGAATCTCCCTGAGGGGGACATAGACAGCAATACAAACCTGACTGGTGTTCTAATCCCTCTGCCCCTATCCATAAATGTAAAAATGTTTTGCCTTCAGTTATACTTCAATGCGGAATTAAACTTCCCATGAATTATTAGCCAGAGTGTTCTAGTATACACAGCATATTAGCACATTATGGTAGATTACCTGAAAAGTGATCCCCCCTCCAGCACTGCACTGTCAGCACAGGCATTTCCATCTTCTTCTGGGTTTAAACTGTACAGCTGTTTGATTCACAGAGCCATAACATTACTCCTGCGAAACGCACGGGAGTCACACCATAACAGCAGAGTGGTGCTGTAAATCTATGCGGGGCTGTGCATATGCTGTTCAGTGTACATCAATGCTGACAGACAGGGAGAAGCAGTTATGACAAAAGAGACCAATAAGGTGCCATCTGTCATAAAAATCTTACTTGTCAAGTTTTTTTTTTTGTTTTTTTTTTTCCACTTTAACCACTTCCCGACCGACCTATAGCATATATACTGCTACAGGGCGGCATGGGTGAGCAAAATCATGTATATACATGTGATTTCACATTTCCGGGTAGGGGCCGGCGCACGCCCTACCCGTGCTGCCATTCGTGGCCGTCAATCACCGGGTCCTGACCAGTGATTACTCGCCAGCGCCCAGTGATTGCTGAGCATCTCTGACAGAGAGGAGAACTGTTTGTAAACAAAACAGTTCTCCTGTCAGCTTATGCACACTGCTTTGGATGGCTGTGCACAGCACAGCCTTGCAAAGCTGTGTGCTTACAGTGAAGCACACGGACACAGCACTAGTTAACCCCTTCCTGCCCAGTGCCATTAGTACAGTTTCAGTGCTGTTTTTTAGCACTGATCACTGTATTGGTGTCACTGAGGTCACCAAGTCAGTTCCCCCCCCCAAGTGTCAGAATGCCCGCCGCAGTACCATTATAAATTGTGATCGCCGCCATTACTAGTAAAATAAAAAAGAAAGATTCCAGTATATATAACACCATTTTTAAATGCTATAACTTTCATGTAAACCGATTAATTTACACGTATTGGGATTTTTTTTTTAGAAAAGACATATAACAGAATACATTTTGGCCTAAATTTATGACTAAATGTGATTTTTAAAATTTTTTACTGGACATGTTTAAAAGCAAAAAGTCAAAAATATTGTTCTTTTTTTCTCAAAATTGTCAGTCTTTTTGTTATAGTGCAAAAAATTAAAACGCACAGCCAATCAAATACCATTGAATAAAAGCGCAATTGTCAGTTAAAGTAACACAGCGCTGGAAGTGCAAAAAATGGCCTGGTCAGGAAGGGGGGGGGGGGGGTAAATGATCAGGAGGGCAAGTGGTTAAAGTGGAACTTTACCCATAAAAATTTGATGAAAAATTATGTTCTTTAGCAAGGAACATACATTCCACATTAATAATGTTACCAAAATTAGTATGTGCTGTAAATTGCCTCCAACATTGTTCCTGTTTCTTCTTGCTGGAGTCTGTCATTTTGCTGAACCCCAGAGCAGCAGTAAATCTTTAGGCTGTCAGCAGATCAGCCTCTGGATTTTCGGCACAGTGACATAAATAGAGAGCAACTGAGTATGTGCAGAGCAGGGTGAGACAGTATATTACTGGATTTTAAACAGTATAAGAACTCATTTTTAATGTTTTACTTAGCTATACCTGCAAAGGGGACCAGCCTGAAGTGATCTAGCAAGACTTATTTTTCTGACTTTAAAGTCGTAGTAAAGAGTGAAGGAAAAAAAAAAAAAAGCCTTACCCCGCAATTTAAAGAGAATACAAACCCAACATTTCACATTCCTGTTATGTCTGCTGTACCATGTACTTGTATGAAAAAGTGTCTTGTTCTCTTTGTATTGCTCCCTTTGTGTGAAATCTCTGCCAGTCCCTCTGCTTTCCTATTAAAAACTGACTACACTAAGCAGGAGAGCACAGCGTGGTCAATTTTCTAGCTATGTCGGGAACTCCATGCGCTCTGCTCCAATGATCAGACTTGTCTTTACACACCACTTGCACAGCCATTCACTGGGAAAACCAGCATACTGCTGTTTTTCCTCCCCTAGCTCCTATGCAGCTGAAAACAGAGAGAATTATCACTTTTAAAAAAAAAAAAAGGGGAGAAAAATATTTTTTCATATCTATACATAAATGTTTTGCCTTTCATTTATATTATAAACTGAATGGGTTGTTTTACAAGGTAAGGGTTTACATATACTTTAAGGGGATGTAATGCATACTAGCACATAATTAACCACTTGCCTACAGGGCACTTATACCCCCTTCCTGCCCAGGCCAATTTTCAGCTTTCAGCGCTGTCACACTTTGAATGACAATTGTGCGGTCATGCAACACTGTACTCATATGAAAGTTTTATCATTTTTTTTTTTAGACAGAGCTTTCTTTTGGTAGTATTTAATCGCCTCTGGTTTTTTTTTATTTTTTACTAAACAAACCAAAAACAACTGAAACTTTCGAAAAAAAAAAAAAATTTTTTCTTAGTTTTTGTTATAAAATTTTGTAAATAAGTGATTTTTCTCCTTCACTGATGTGCGCTAATGAGGCTGCAGTGATGGGCACTGATAGGCTGCACTGATGAGGCACAGGCAGGTGGCACTGATGGGCATTGACAAACATCACTGATGGGCACTGAAAGGCAGCACTCATATGGCACTGATAGGCGGCACTGAAAGGCAGCTCAGATGGGCACTGATATGTGGCATTGACGTACACTAGTAGGCACTATATGGCACTGATGAGCACTGGCAGGTGGCATTGATGGGTCTACACTGTTCAGTGCCCTGATAATCAGTGTACATGTCCCCTCTGAGGAATGCCGGTTACCAGCTCTACTCTCCTCTCGAGCTGTCAGCGAGACACCTCATGAGGAGAGAAATGCTGATAACTGGCATTTCCTTATTTACATGCGATCAGCTTTGATTGGACGTCTTCGGCTCTTTCCATTGATCGGTGAACTGCTGTGTCCAAGGGACACAGCGCACCACCGATCGCCGCGCTGCGTGCCCCCGGGGCCACGCACATGTGGTTAGAGTGGGAGGACGTCATATGACGTCCTCCCAGAACAAGAGAGCCGCCTTGCGTCCGTCATTTCCTTATATATAGCAGGCGGGAGGTGGTTAAAAACGTATGTGTAAAAGGGATGCCCCCAGCAGTGGGATATCATGTCTTTCATCTTTCCCCAGTCTTCCCTCCGGGTTTGTGGTCTTCAGCCTTTAAAATGGCCACAGCACTCTGAAGGTATGACCTACTCATTATGCCGTCCCTGCAGAGCACTTACACCAGTGACACCACTGGCTGCAGAAACTGCGAATATCTCCTAAAAGGTTCCCATTTAGGAGATATTCCTTGTACCTACTCTGGGTACCTGCTCTATTATAAGCTTACCTGTAGGTACAAGTCACCAAGCATTGTTTACTACCACTTTAAGGGAAGATGGCCTCATCCATTTAATAACTACTGCTTTGCAAGCCATAAACACACATGTTCTCACAAGAACATTCTAGTACAGTGTAGCCAATATTCTTGTCTAGTATCTTGACAATTGTACAGGGAAGAGGGAGTTATAAGGAGGTGAGCACAGGAACTACTCGCTATCAGAAGTCAGGTATAATCTGACATCCCAAAATGTAATACAGCTGGTTTAGGCTTGTTAGCCATCATCGGTGCAGTGCATGGAAAGGCCATCAATGAAAGAGGTCTTGGGAAGCAAGGAGAAGGTATAACCAGATGCGGTGAGGTTGGAACCATACAGCCGTTCGCTGAAGCAGTGTGAAGCACAATAGATAGATTTGTGTAGATCAGTGCACACAGTTGTGTGCCACTTCATTGGCGTCGGTGGGTGAAATTATACCCCATTGTTGGTATCAGTGGATGAAATAGTGCCCCAAGGGCCAGATAAAAACAAGCAAAGGGCCACTTTTGGAGACCACTAGGAGGCCATTCAATCTTAGGAGGACCCTGAACATACCGGCCAACATGTGCGCTCAGGGCACTGCAACACAGCGACTGGTGTATAGTTCGGCCGGACCGCAGCAGTGTTGATGCACTGATACCAGCACATCGCACTGTTTACTTTTTTTTTTTTTTTTTTCAAACAATCTCCACTGAAATGTCACATCGGCCAGAGTGCGGTGACCCGCATTGTGCTGAAAAAAGTGCGCACTGTCCACACATCACCACAATGCAGTGGTGTGACCTATCATTTTGCCTTGTTTTGTGGTGGAGGTGAGCTGGAATAGCCGCCCAATGTAATCCCACCACACCTGCCATGGACAGACTCTTGGTAACACCGCATGGAAACTATTTGAGTTCAGTGTGCTTTAACCCCTTCCTGCGGAGCCAGGCATTTGGGTAATGTGATTGGATGACACATGATCAGAAAGCTTGCGATCGCTAATATGTATCAGAATCTTTCTGATCCCCGCTGGTGCCCGTGCTGGGAGCGTGCAAGGTGAGCGCTCAGCACAGAAAAGTGTTTACAGAGGGCCACATACTGGCCTCTCGGCGGTAAAGCCCACCTGCCAAGAGGCCGCAGATAAGCGCTACGTCAGCAGGAACGGGTTAAAATAAAATGCACAACTTCTTTCGTACATTTGTGACGCGTGGAGCATCCTACTGAAATGAATAGGCTGCCTAAACACGAACACCAACGCGCGTGCACACTGTTATACCTGCACAGGTGTAAACAAAGCCCAATCTGAGGGCCCCTACAAGATGGTCCAATGAAACACTAAAGGAAATGCTGCACAAGCCCACCTCACATTAGCAGTAATCCAGGAGTGAGGACCCCCCCTGCAGGCACACAAGGGCTGCTGTATGAGAACGCACACATACACAGCTCCCACTGTGTCCCCCGTGTACACTCCTCCCCGGGCCTACTCACCTGCACACAGGGGCCGGGTCACTCCGGTGCTGAACTCGGGCCGCGCTTCCAGTAGCATGACTCCGGCCTGAGGACACCAGACAGCGGGAGACTGCGCTTTTCCTCCCGGCACTCACCCACAAAGCCGCATGGCGGAAGAGTGAGCACTTCCAGGTCACCGCAGTGTGTCACACCGAATCCTGTCCGCCGGATACCACCGACCTAACTAATCCTGTCCGCCACACAGCACGTTCCCAGCCTACCCAGTGCAGTACTCAGGGACTGGAGTTTGCATCCACCCCTGCAATGTGCTGAGAGAGCCCAGGAAGCCGCCTTCTGAGGGAATTTAAAATGTGTGTAAACCCTGACAATACAATTCTCTTATTTGCTCATAAATGCTTACAAAAGTGTTTTTTTTTTTTAATCTGTTCCACAAGAACAAAAAATGGCTGTTAAGACAGAAATCTAGCGAGCTGATCAGCGTTATTTTCGTTGACTAAAATATTTTCGTCAACAAAATTAACACTATTTTAGTCAACTAAATGACGACTAAAACAATTCAGATGACTACAATACAACTAAAGTAATTCAGATGACTAAAATACAACTAAAGAAATTCAGAGGACTAAAATACGACTAAAATAATTCAGATGACTAAATTATGACTAAAACAATTCAGATGACTAAAATACGACTAAAGCAATTCAGATGACTAAATTATGACTAAAACAATTCAGATGACTAAAATACGACTAAAAGCAATTCAGATGACTAAAATATGATTAAAGCAATTCAGATGGCTAAAATACGACTAAAACAATTCAGATGACTAAAATACAACTAAAGTAATTCAGATGACTAAAATATTACTAAAACAACTCAGATGACTAAAATACGACTAAAGCAATTCAGATGACTAAATTATGACTAAAGCAATTCAGATAAATTATGACTAAAAATTCAGATGACTAAAATACGACTGAAGTAATTCACATGACTAAAATACGACTAAAACAATTCAGATGACTAAAGTACAACTAAAGCAATTCAGATGACTAAAATACGACTAAAACAATTCAGATGACTAAAATACGACTAAAACAATTCAGATGACTAAAATACGACTAAAACAATTCAGTTGACTAAAATACGACTAAAGTAATTCACATGACTAAAATACGACTAAAACAATTCAGATGACTAAAATACAACTAAAACAATTCAGATGACTAAAGTACAAATGAAACAATTCAGATGGCTAAAATACGACTAAAACAATTCAGATGACTAAAGTACGATTAAAACAATTCAGATGACTAAAATACGACTAAAGCAATTCAGATGACTAAAATGGCATTTTAGTCAAAAGGCTATGACTAAAACTAAATCGAAACTTGATGTCAAAAGTAACACTGGTTATATGTCACAACGGCTCAATCTGTGTCTGTAGTGCATGTTCAAACCTTAATACCATAAATAGTAACATGGTATTAGATTTTTACTCCAGGAGTATATAATGCATTTGCGAATTCTAGACAAATGCTTAAATAATGCATTATGATTTAACTAAACCCATTAGAATTTTACTCGACTAAAGTGTAGCAGAAGTTTTAGTCTACTAAAATACGACTAAAGCAATTCAGATGACTAAAATATGACTAAAATTAAATTGAAATTTGACGTCAAGATTAACACTGGTTATATGTCACAAGGGTTAAATCTATGTTTGCAGTGCATGTTTAAACCTAAATGCCATAAATAATAATATGTTATTAGATTTTTACTCCAGGAGTATATAATGAGTTTGGAAACTCTAGAAAAATGCTTGAATAATACATTATAATTTAAAGTTCACCTTCGTATGCGACAAAGGAGCAACAGCCCCAGGATGGATACCGCTACAACAGATGTGAGCGGGTTGACGTTCTGGAAACTTGCGTTAGAGATCTGGAGGAGCAAGTTACAACACTGGGCAGAACCGACAACCTTGAAAGGGGTCTAATCAGGGGCTAATCAGGATTTTCAGGTAGGAAGATTGGTTACTGTAACAAGAGGGAGTGGTAGGGGCTTACAGAAGAGGAAGGCCGGCCCTAGGTTTGTGCACCCAAACAGATTTGACAAGTTGGGTGAAGATGTGGGGGTGGCAAGCTCAGGGGTGGCAGCTCTGGATGTCACTGCTATCCTTAACAGCCGGGAGGGCAGACCATCTGGGAGGGGTGGTGAAGGTAGTACAAGAAGGCCTAGACAGTTGGTAGTAGTAGGGGATTCTATAATCAGAACTGATAGAATAATTTGTCACCAGGATCACCTCAACTGAATGGTTTGCTGTCTCCCTGGTGCCAGGGTTTGGCATGTGGTGGACCGGATTGATAAATCACTGGGAGGGGCTGGGCATGACCCAGCTGTCTTGGTCCATGTTGGAACCAACGACAGAATACATGAAAGGTAGAGGCTCCTTAAAACTGTGCTCCACCCAAAAGGGGAAGTTCCGCTTTAAGTCTTTGTTTCCCGCTCCCCATTAAGGATTGACACCTTTGGGGAGCGGGGGGTACTCGCTCCCACTTCCACTGCGATCACCTAAAGCGCGATCGGAAGCAGAAGTTGTCTTCCCCCCTCCCTCCCCGTAGTCTTCTGGGACAGTTGACAGGTCCCAGAAGACTACAAGGCCATTCACAAAGCGTGCGCTTCTCGCACATGCGCTGGAGAAACCAGCCGTGGTGAGGACACTGCTGGACTCAGGGACAGGTAAGTGACTGTATTTTAAAAGTCATCAGCTACAGTTTTTGTAGCTGTTGACTTTTTTTATTTTATTTTCAGCTGGAACTCCACTTTAAGAATCAATTTAAAGAACTAGGCTGCAAGTTGAAGGTGATATTCTCTGAAATATTACCTGTGCCATGCACAACTCAGGAAAGACGGGAAGATTAGAGAACTCAATGCATGGCTGAAGACCTGGTGTAAGAGGGAAGGATTTGGGTTTCTAGAGCACTGGGTCGACTTTTCATTGGGGTGCAACCTATATGCTAGAGATGGTTTGCACCTAAATGGAAGGGGGTCTGCTGTGCCGGGGGAGAGGTTTATGGAGTGGCTGGAGGAGTATTTAAACTAGGATCGAGGGGGGAGGGAGAATTAGATTATAACAAGGTAGTTAGATCAGACAAGGGTCAGTACTTATTGGTGGGTGGAATGGGGAAAGATGGGGGAAGGGCTATGGCAGATGATAAGAAGGTTCCCATGATACAAACAACCAGTGGAATTGGTACCATTTGTATGACAATAAAATATATACAAAATACGTATGCAAAACCAGTCCCCGCAGCCTCTTCTGTCTTATGCTCTGGCAGTTGGTTGTCCTCTGACGTTAACAAGGCCAAGGAACAGTCCACTGCTGGAGCATTGGGGAGCAGAGGAGAGCACAAACTCCCAAGGGAGTGTAGGATCAGGTAAGTAATACTGCTCTTTGAGACTGCCTAGACCTAAACATGCATTTAACATTTCAGTGTGGTTGCCCCAGAGATGGGCTTTAAGGTTGACCAACAGTAAAATATTAGTACATTCCAGTGGTCCCTCTCTCATCCCATAGCAAATATTAAAGTAGGACTAAAGGTAAAGAGTAAAAATTATGATCAGGCAGGCTCCTTATTGCAGAACAGGCATGCCATGTTCCTTCTTTCTGCAAGAAAACAAACTAACCTGCTTGTTTGCAATCTTCTTCAAAACATACACTTGGTTGTACATGTGCAGCTCAGTGTGCATTCTCGGCACACCTTAGTACTGGAAAAAATAAACTCCCATGCACATGTACAGGAGTTACGTCATCCTCCCGCCAATCGGGGCATCCGAAGACCTGAAGAAGCCAGAAAGATGTCAGCACCAGCATGGGAGCTCCTGAACAGCACATTGCTGGAGCAGAGGTGAGTATCTGCAAAGTTTAGCTCTGCCTTAAATGCTTGATTAGTGTAGGGGAGGTAATAAGTTGAGGCATACCTATCGCAAACAATGGATTTCCCAGCAACACTTACAAGCCAGCCTGTAAAACAATCAGTTTGGCCCTGTCTAACAGTTTGTGTTAAAAATGGAGGATTTTATTTGCACACATTTGCAAATACATGCATAAGCCACAGTCCTGTGTCAAGGGTCCTCTGTATGCTGTGGACCTAGCTCTAAATTTCAAGGCCCTCCATAGTAGGAGCCCATATATCAATGTATAGGTTAAGGCCAGGTGTGCTTAAGGAGCCCATCCCTCCTCAACCACTTCCCGTCTGCCCATTTTACATAGACGGCGGACAAAAAGCAGCGCCGATGTGGGCTAACATTCCTGTACATCAGCCCTCATAGATGGTTCGTGCACGACTCACAGAGCACACAACCCGGAGCCCGGTGATTGGTGTGTTGCTCGGAGACAGCAAATTCCATTACCTCTGTGTTCGGGCGATCACGTGGTGTTTTACCATGTGACTGCTGTGACCAATCACAGCACTCACATAGCAAACACTGGCAACTGGAAGCAGAGATCGCTTCAGTGTGAGAGCAGAGAGAAGCGACCCAGCAGTGTGTGAGTGTACAGCAACCTGTCAGGATGCTTGTACACTCACACACTGCAGTGCCAGCCACCCCAGTGCTCCAGTATAATGCCCCTGTGTCCCTGCTCACTGCCCCACACAAACAATAATAAATAATGCAAGGAGGCCCTGTCACCTGTCCCAGTGCACCAAAAACACCCCCATACAACATACCAATGTCCTGATCCCCGCCATACACCAAACCAACACCTTGATCACTGCCATATGCCATACCAGCACCCTGATCACTGCCATACCCCATACCAGCACCCTGATAACCGCCGTACCCCATAACAGCATCCTGATCACCACCATACCCCATATGCCATACCAGCGTCCTGATCACCGCCATGCCCCATACCAGCATCCTGATCAGCCCATATGCCATACCAGCGTCCTGATCACTGCCAAGCCCCATACCAGCATCCTGATCACCCCATATGCCATACCAGCATCCTGATCACCGCCATACCCCATAGCAGCGTCCTGATCACTGCCATGCCCCATACCATCACCCTGATCACCACCATACCATACCAGCATTTTGATCACCCTATACTAGTATCCTGATTACAGCCATACCCCATACTAGCATCCTGATAACCCCCCTACCTCATAACAGCATCCTGGCTACTGCCATACCAGCGTCCTGATCACCGCCATACCGCATGCTAATGTCCTGATCACAGCCATACACCATACCAGCCTCCTGATCACTGTCATATGCCATACCATCGTCTGGCATTTTAGGCTCTCAACTGATCAATTTACAAATATATATCCCATAGTTTGTAGACTCTATAGCTTTCACACAAACTAAATAATATAAACTGTTTTGGGTTATGTTTACCCCAAAAATGTAGCAGAATACATTTTGGCCTAAATTTATGAAGAAAAATTATCTATTTGCAAAATTTTATAACAAAAACTAAGCAAAAAGTGATTTATTTTCAAAATTGTCTGTATTTTCTCATTTATATAGCAAAAATTAAAAAAAACCCAGTGGAGATCAAATACCACCAAAAGAAAGCTCTATCTGTCTCAAATAAAGGATACAAATTTCATATGTGTACAGTGTTGCATGATTGAGTAATTGTCACTCAAATTGTGATAGTGCTGAAAGCTGAAAATTGGTCTGGACTGGAAGGGGGTGAAGGTGTCCGAACTTGAAGTGGTTAACGGCACGGGGATGCACGTGATGCCCAGCTATACCAAAATAACAGCTATACCAAAACAAAGGCTTCCAGTGTGTCCCTGCATCCAAATTAGCCAACTACACCAAAAATGGTAACCGTCCCAATCTATAACCAGCCTTAGCAGTAAGGTGCACATGGAAGGGCAATGCACATCGTAAGCAAAGAAAGGATTTGCCAGCAATACTTACCAGCCAGCCTGCAAAACAACCAGTTCGGCCCTGTCTAACAGTTTGTGTTAAAAATATACCTATCATGTTCCTGGCTCCCCTGGCAGCTCCCTGTTTGTTAGCAGGCCCTTGATGTCCTCATATACAATTCAGGAATGCTGGTCCCAAATTGTTCATGCTGACATCAGAGAGGCCATGACTAGCAAAGAAGAGGATAAAAGCTAGTGTAGGGCTGAGTACACGTACTGTATATTTGTTTTTATTAAGGAGTTCAACTGAAAATGGCAACCAGTATTCCTCTAGCATCAGGGTTGCCATGGCAATGTGTACTCTAGTGGAGGGAGTGGAATACAAAAATGACAGTTGAGTCGGCCATTTTAGGAGATAGCACAGAGAGGACGACACGCAGGAAACTGCTAAGATTTTCTACAGCGCTGGCCCCTTGTTTTCAGGCATCCTGTTCCTGAGCTTAGGATTCGGACAGCCAGAGGACCTGGGGGGAGATTTCCCATTTGTAAGGAGTGGTAAGACATACAAACATGTTTGTTACCTAAATAATCCAGCTATAGAATGTAATAGGGTCCATTACCAAAAATACATTTTTCACACAACTTTTATCTAGGACTCCTACATTTTTCTAATTGATTATTACTGGAAAAATGTGTGAATCTTGGGTGGAAGCTGTGTGAATCTTGTGGACCTCTTAGTATTTAACACAGCTTTCAGTATATATGTGGTATGTAATCTGTGCATCATTTAGCTATATAAAACAACTTTTCTCATCCACAATGTTCCTCCAGAGGCTGCTAGGGGTTCCTTGAGTAGGGAGAAATTTCTGACTCAGCTAAGAAATCACTGACACCAATTATCCTTTCAGCTACTGTATCTGTAAGGAGGAAGTTGGGAGTTAAGGAGCATTGTTCCCACTGATCACCAGTGTAAGGGATATTCTTCCAACTGACCACCAATGTAAGGGATATTCTTCCCACTGACCACCAATGTAAGGGATATTCTTCCCACTGACCACCAATGTAAGGGATAACTGGTATATTCTTCCCACTGGGATACCCACCAATGTAAGGGATATTCTTCCCACTGACCACCAATGTAAGAGTTATTCTTCCCACTGACCACCTATTTAAGGGATATTCTTTCCACTGACCACCAATGTAAGGGATATTCTTCCCACTGACCATCAATGTAAGAGTTATTCTTCCCACTGACCATCAATGTAAGGGATATTCTTTCCAGTGACTACCAATGTATGAATCATTCTTCCCACTGACCACCAGGGTAAGGGGTCCCTTTTCCCAATGACCAGCAATGTAAAAGGAGTGCTACACTGACCACTATTGTTAATGGGCACCAAACTGACCAATGGACTATGGCCTATCACTGACTAACAGTGTAAGGGTTCATTCACATGGGTGAAAGGCTCTACCACCCCTCTGAAAAGCAAGCTGTGGTGGAACTCTTTTTCAGAGCCAGTTTACAGGCATTAAGGTGGCAATTATGCTGCATTCTGAGAGCTAGTTATTTTGATCACCAAGGATAATTTTTTCTATCATGATAAGGATTTTACATTGAACTACTATGCCACAAACTCCATAGATGCATTTGACACAAGGTTTCAATGCAATCTTGTTGGCTTTGATGGGTGAGTTTGATGGTGCAGATGGTGATGTCTGTCAAACTGGACATGCTGAGTTAAAATTGTTGCACCATAAAATTAAACATTGCAGCTGTGGAAATGTAAACAGACTTGAGTGACCACCATGTTGTAAAGTAGGTGTGTGGTCAGGGGGTGGTAAAAATGTGGATTAACTGCTTGCTTGTGCTGCCCCCTGGCTGTCCATGTAAACTCAGCCTATGGAAGACTTTCACACACCAGCATTGTAAAGGGAAACTTTTTGCCACTAACCATCAATGTAAGGCAGGGGTGTCCAAACTTTTTTCAAAGAGGGCCAGATTGGATGAAGTGAACATGGTGGAGGGCCGAACTTTTTTCCAAACATTCTTTGAACCATTACAATTAAATGCAAATAAATTATTTTATGCCAAGTTACCGTATTTTTCGCCGTATAAGACGCACCTGACCATAAGACACACCTAGGTTTTAGAGGCAGAAAAACAGGAAAAAAAAAATTCTGAACTAATGGACTGCAGACACAGTACAGGGATGACCAGAGACTGTGGACAGTACAGGGATGACCAGAGACTGCGGACAGCACAGGGATGACCAGAGACTGCGGACAGCACAGGGATGATCCAGAGACTGCGGACAGCACAGGGATGACCACAGCACAGGGACCAGAGACTGCGCGGACAGCACAGGGATGACCAAAGACTGCGGACAGCACAGGGATGACCAGAGACTGCGGACAGCACAGGGATGACCAGAGACTGCGGACACAGTACAGGGATGACCAGAGACTGCGGACAGCACGGGGGATGACCAGAGACTGCGGACAGCACAGGGATGACCAGAGACTGCGGACAGTACAGATGACTGCTGACCTTTGGGGAGGTGGGGAGCGGGTACCTTAATTTGACAGGTACCCGCTCTTACTTCCGCAGTTGTTCTTTGATCTTACCTGTTCCTCGATCCAGCCGCGCGCTGTCTTCCCGGCTTCTGTAATGGCGCTCGGCATGACAGCCGGGTGCCCAGTGCGCATGAGCGAGAAGCACTTGCGCTTTGTGATTGGTCCGGCGGCTTCTGGGATCTGTCATGTGTCCCAGGTACCGCCTTACCATTCACAAAAAGCACCGCTTCTTGGGCATGCGCACTTGGCACCCGGCTGTCATGCCCAGCGCCCACACTACAGAAGCCGGGAAGACAGCGCGCCGCTGGATAGAGGAACAGGTAAGGTCCCGCTGCAGAGCTGAGCGGCCGGCCCGGTACACACGGCCGCGGTGGAAATACCGGACGGCCGCTCCATATTCGCTCCATAAGACACACTGACACACTGACATGGAGGGCCGTATTAAACCGACCCTCGGGCCGTAAATGGCCCGCGGGCCAGACTTTGGACATGCCTGATGTAAGGGGACTCTGCTCCGCTGATCACCATGTGAGGGAACACTACAATTTTCACTATCTGCAGATGTTTATGGTCACTATTCTTTATTTGACAAAAGTCAGCTAAAACAATTGTGTCTCATAGAGCAGCTCTGGGTGGCACATACACTAAGGTCACTTTCACACTGACTGCAAAACGCATAGGTGTTTTTACTGCGCTTTAGCCGCGCATTCTGAGCATTTTTAAAGGACACGACTTAAAAACTGCACCAAAAATGCTTCTCAGAGGCGTTTTTGGGGGGGGGGGGGGGGTTTAAGCGTTTTTCAGGCATTTTCCATTGATTTCAATGGGAAGAGGCATTTTTGTGGTGTTTTTTTTTTAACTCACCAAACATGCCCCAAAGATGCTGCACCACAACATATATATATGCGGGCCGTGTTTTGCACGAGCATGAGACCCCATTCATTTGAATGGACTCCCATGCCCGTGACATGCAGGGAAGAAGTCCCTGCACTTCTTTGGAAAACGCAGCCCACACGGGAACCTCGGTTCCCAGTACAGTTGCGATTTCCAGTGCGGGCGGTGTGCCATTAGAACTAATGGCACCCGCCCACGGGTCCGCATTTCTCTGTGTGGGTGGTGCAGCTGCACGGATTTTCGTGCGGATCCACAGTGACACCACCCACACAGATGTGAACCTAGGGTGAATGACAATTGTGCGGTCATGTCACACTGTGCCCATATGACATTTTTTTCACACAAATAGAGCTTTCTGTGGGTTGTATTTAATCGCCACTGGGTTTTTTATTTTTTGCACTATAAAAAAAAATTAACATTTTGAAAAAAAATGTTTTTCTTTGTTTTTATTAACAAATTTAGTAAACAGGTCATTTTTCTCCTTCACTGATGAGGCGGCACTGATAGGCAGCACTGATGAGCACTGATAGGCAGCACTGATAAGGCGGAACTGATAAGGCAGTACTGATGGGCGCTGATAGGCTGCACTAATGAGGCGGCACTGATAAGGCAGTACTGATGAGGTGGCAATGGTGGGCATTGATATGGAAGCACTGATGAGGCTGCACTGATAGGTGGCGATGATGGGCACTAATATGTGGCACTGAAGGGCACTGACTGGCGGCACTGATGGGCACTGATAGGCAGCACTGATAAGGCGGAACTGATAAGGCAGTACTGATGGGCGCTGATAGGCTGCACTGATGAGGCAGCACTGATAAGGCAGTACTGATGAGGTGGCACTGGTGGGCATTGATATGGAAGCACTGATGAGGCTGCACTGATAGGTGGCGATGATGGGCACTAATATGTGGCACTGAAGGGCACTGA